ACCTTTGCTGTGGGAGCTGCATTGGGTGCCAGTTTGCTTCTGGGTCCAATTCAAGGTGTTGGTTATCACCTTTAAAGCCCTACATGGCATTGGACTGCGTTACCTGAGGGACTGTCTCATCCCCGTTAACATCAACATGTCCCACCCGGTCAGGCAGAGAAAGTATGTTATGGACCCCATTGATGAAAGAATGTCAACTGGTGGGGCTCAGAAGGAGAGCCTTCCCTGTTGTTATCCCTGGCCTACGGAATACTCTCCCCCCAGAGGTGAGGTGGGCCCCTACCCTCCTGACCTTCCGGAAAGGGGTGAAGATCTGGTTCTGCCAACTCATGTGGGGCGAGAAGAGCAGCAACCAACCCTGGGGGTGGCTGGCACCTTGAAGATACTCCCATAACCTTTATTTACCATCAGTATCTTGAAAGCCATTATTTATGTATGAACATGATTTTTTATTGTATTTTAATTGTATTTTAATTAATATTTATTCTTGTTTTACTATAAACTGCCCAGAACTGCTCTTCAGTGAGATGGGCGGGTGACTAAATTTGAAATATAAAATAAAATAAAATAAAAAATATTTAGGTAACAGTAACATGAGAGAAATGCCTTAGATTCAGGAAACTTCCACATAAAGAATCTGGGCAGTTTGAAAGCAGCTCCTGACCACTTCATTCCCACATCAGCACTGGATAAATGAGCTGTTTCTCTGGTGCAATGTAACTGAAACTAATTTGGGGGAGAAGCTATAGCTCCATTTCCCCGTTAGATGGAACTCCTGCTCATCCCTCTTGCTAGTTCCTGAAGCCTGTGCAACTTTCAGGAGGAAAAAAAAAAAGAGAGGTGAAATTAACCAAAGTGCAATTAGCCTTCCTTCCCTTTTCTTCTGCACGGACAAACCAAGTGCAAAAATGCTGGGCTACTGTGCTTTCTTTTTTTATGTGGAATGGGGAGAGGGAGGCTTTTTTAAAATTGTTGCAGGATTGGCAACAGCTTGGGAAAGGCCTACAATTTTTGCTTTTTATTCTTAGCTTTTCAAACAAGTAGAAAGAAAGGCAAGCAAGCACTGTTCCTGAGAGTTTGGGGAATGAAAACAGCAGTGCTGCAGAAGTGCCCGTCTACCATATTTTGGAAAAATTCACATCACTCATTAAAAGTTATACTGGAACTCTTTAAAGGTTGTAATGATTGACAATTCCCCAGTTTCACTTACCAACAAAGGATTGTATGATCCACAAGCACCAAAAGCATCCTCATCTCGCAGGTACAGAAAGCGATGCATCAGCCTCTCCAATAAAGAGATGTTTAATCCATAAAGTGTTGCAAACTTAGATTTTATTATTGGACCTAGTTGCCTGGAATCCCCTGAAAGTATGATCTGCAGATATGAAACATTTTTTTTTTTAAATGGGACTTAATTTTCATTTCATATAATGCTTTTCATGAATTATACAGCAAAACTACCAGAATTTGGAGGCAGATGCCATCAATACAGAAATAATACCCATTTCTCTCTTTGTTTTATCAAAGAGTAGTTATCCATATCTCCCCAAGATGGGATGCCCAGGTTTTCACTTAGGGGTTCCATTCCTGGAGATAAGAGAAAAGTATGTTGTTTCCAGAACAGCTGATGACCCCACAGCGTTCCTTTCCCCATACATAAGGAATGTGTCCGGAAGAGTGCACATTCCTTGCAAGGGGGTAGTAGTTTACAGCTGCTGTCAAAAGAACAAAAGGCAGAGAAGGAGAAGGGAATTTTCCTTCTCCTCTGCTGCCTGTCTCTGTCCCCACCAGGCCAAGCATGGATTTCTCACCTTCATTCCTCTTCTCCCTTCGCTTCGTTTCCCTGCCCTTTCCTTCTCCTCCATTCTTGTTGGAGAGCATTGCCACTGGCCTCAACAGCAGTAGCAGGTCACTGCCACACCCAGACCAGGCACAGGGGTTAACTGTGGCTGCTGCTGTTGCTGAGGGAGGCGTAGACATAAGGAAAGAGGTAATGAAGGGATCGGAGCTGGGAGGATGAAAGATCTGCAGCTGGCTGTGAGGAAAGAGGGAGGCAGGCAAGAGAATGGAGTGGGGAAGGCAAGGGAGGTTACAGGTAGGAAGATCAGCTTTAAACTTTAAATGGCCTGCAATCTTAGTATATGTTGAATCCCGTTTTTCCAAGTGAACTTTCCCAGCAATTAAGATAGTCCAAGGCCCTTGTCCCTGAAGTTAACTGAATGGCTGCTGGACAAATACCCATTTTAGTAGTATCCCTCAAATTATGATAGCCCACCATAAGCATGACCATTTCATTCAACTGTTATAATCATTTAGATATTAACCACTCTTGGGGTTTTAATGAAATGATCTGCTCCTGTCTAACTGCATTGCTTTTACTCAGATGCGTCTTGTTCTGTTTGGTAGCCACTTTGAAAAAAACCGTGAAGGAAGTAGGCAGTGATCTACACTGTACTGTTGGTGTGCACTAAATACCTGCAAGAGATTATGGAATGACAATATGTGAGATTAATGCATTTGATGGCTACTGCAATGCACTTTATATGGAGCCACTTTTGAAGATTACTCAGAACCCACAACTAGTGCAAAATGCCACTTTGGTCATATTACACGTATAGTGGTACCTCTAGTTACGAATTTAATCTGTTCCGTGACTCTGGCCGCAACTCGATTTGGTCGCAAGTCGAGGTAAATTTTCCCATAAGGTTCAATGTAAATACGGTTAATCCGTTCTGG